TTATTTATTTTTAAAAGAAAAATGTTAAATATAATAAATGATGCACCATTTTTACATTTAAAGACATTTTATATATTGATAGTAATAGAGAATCGAAAAATCCCAATTTTGGTTTTTATATTTCTTTAACTCTAGACTTTTAGAATTTTCGAATAATTTTTCGGCCACAACAACACTGTAACAATGCCTCCATATTCGCCAGACATGGCTCCGTGTGACTTTTTTCTATTTCGAAAAATAAAGAGATCCTTAAAGAGCCGTTGTTTTACAAGCATAGATGACATTAAAAGTGCATCGCTGGATAAGCTGAAGACTATTCCAACGATCGAGTTTGAGAAGTGTTTCGAGGATTGAAAGAAGCGTTGGCTCAAGTGCATAATATCTAATGGATACTTTTTTGAAAGCGACAACATGTAAACGAATAAATAAATATTTTTTTCAAAAACCGAAAATTCCCGTTGTTTTCTGAACACATCTCGTAGTTATCAATACTCTAGGATTTTGAAGTATGTACAATAATTTCTTTTTAATACTAATATTAAAAGGCTATGCCCTTAATAACACCTACTTGTAAAATTAAAGAAATTTATTAGAATAATAAAGCTTACAAAATTATCTTACAAGATACTATGAATGAATTTTATAAAAATTTAAAAAGTTAAACTAAAAATATATTATATAAATATTTCGGGGTAAATAATCTACATTTATTCTCAATGATTTATTTTCAAAAAATAATAAACAAATATTAAAAAATATATTTTATGACCATATTGTAAAAATATTTCAAATCAAATATATATTTTATTAAATAAATTTTTAATGTATTTTTAAAATATTTAATATTTTAAAATCATTTTGTAGGAATATTTTGGCGATATTAATACACCAAAATCATTATGTAAGTGTTCACTGGAATATAGCCAACAACTCTGTTTTGTTTCAACATGTAAATTGCTACTCCAATATATAAAAGAGCTACGTGCGCCTACCGTCCGCCTAATATTAAAACGCATTTCCGGCCGACCTTCCATGTGTAATCAGATTAATGGCGAATATTTGTTCTTAAATAGATTGCAAACTAATTTACGGCAAACCGATATAACTTTACGAAGGTAATCGCGAATAGCTTTGAATGAAAGTTCTGTGGTTTTGTGAACTTTCACCGGTACCTTAATGGAACTGGCAACGCTGCCTCCATTATTTCTTCGGATCATTGTATGAGAGTATTTTCCAGACTATTTGACAAATTTGCAATCGTGCACATTGATAAATAATGCGGGTACATTTAATAAGTATTTATAAGTTCGAATTTTCCAAAAACAAGTGACTAGATAAATAATATGAAACCTAATTAGTGGATTAGTAAGCTATATTAAAACAATTTTAATATCAGTTTTGTAATTTTTAACAAAGATTCAAGTTTTTAAATTTGTTCATTATTTTTTAATAACAACTAAACTATTTTAATAATGCTATTAATTTGAATATTTATAAATATGAAATTTCTTTTATAAGCATTATAAATGTTATTATCTCTATTAACCTAATATACTATAAATGTAGGGGAAAGAAGGTAGAGAAAATTTTAATAATAGAAATATTTTAACATTAAATTGTTGTAGCGCTATGAGAATTATATGATTTCATAGATAAATAAATAATCAAATATTTCATGGAAATTATGTTCATATCTAACCAATATTAAAATGTATTCGCGTTTTTGTTTTTTTATGTCAATAGTAAAATTTAGTACACATTTCACTTTTTATTTTACGTGACCAAAAATATAAAACAAAATATTTTTTAATCTAAATATATAATCATTAGGTGATAATGAAGACTGAGGAAAAAAGTAACAATTTACATCACACAGTATATAACTTGAGTTATAAAGTAACCTAGGAGAAAATTGCGCTTTTTTTCTATTGTATAAATCATGTAATATATAGTAGTTATACAAAATTATTATTTTATCTAGAAAAATGATCAAAAATACAAATTAAACAGTTTTAATAAGATTTGAACTTTATTTAATGAATTATATATAGAATAAAAAACCCAGCACAATAGGGACGTGGCATAGTTGGGTCAATTATAATGATATCTGACAGTGATTAAAATCACTGTCATAAAAACGCTTTGATGCAAATCTTTAGATAGTGTTTAATTTAAAAAAAGTGATGGATTATTCCATAAGTTACATGATCTCCTATTTTCTTATTTATATCCTGATTACAAGTTTTATGTTTTACATGTCCGTTTTCACCGTGAAAACAAAATAAAGTCCGAAATTTTTTTTTTCCATAATTAAGTATATTACTTTAGCTTTAATTTAAGGTATATATAAAATTGTCAATATTTCCGGAAAACTTTCAAAAGTTAAGTTGAAAAAGTTGTCATTTTGAATCTCCCCTGTGGGCATGTAAATAGTCAGATTTATAAAAAAAATATATCAAATGATAAGTAAAGACATGATGCATCTATAAAAAGAAATTATAATGATTTGGTCGTTTTTAAAAAAGTTATGGCAGTTTTAAGTAAAAAAAATTGAAAAAATTTCGAAAATTATCGATTTTTAAATTTGTAATTTTTTTGGAGATTTCCCCCATTTACGTGGAACAAAAGAAATTTTTTCAATTCTTGAGGGTAATGTCTTCAACTAGATACGATTTGTGATATTTTGACGAATCGTTGAAAGAAATCGGTTCAATGAGAGTTGAGAAAAATTGGTAACAGACACACAAAAAAAAAACACATCATAGTAAAACCAATACCTTCTCAGTTTCGCATCGAAGCTAAAAGAAAAACGTAGCTTATTTGCATTCATGGAGTAAGAATCCAGTAGTATTGAGTAAATGTTAACAAACAAATTACTCTATAAATCACTGTTTATCCAAGTTTTTTTTATTTGAAATAACAAAAATAATGACTATGTTTATAGAATTTAGTATATTTGCAATTCAATACCATAATATTTAATTATAATAAGTAAAAAAAAATTTGGCCATTTAGGAATAAATTTTTTTCTCAAAAAATAATATTTTTCAATATTTACTTTGGACTCTTACCCCAAATCAGAATTCTTCTTTTAATTCTACGTTAAAAATTGTATGCGAATGTAAAAGTATATTATTTATAAAAATATCTTATATTCAATCAGGAGTCGGTCTGGCCTAGAGGGTAAAATACGTATGTACAGGGTCCCGGGTTCGATCCCCAGAGTGCCAACGAGATTTTTCTTGTGATTTTCTCATTGGTGGTGTCTCTGGTCTTTTGTGCAAGCCGGCCACAATACCCGTTTCATCTATCATTTGGCATAACCAAGAGTCATCAATGACTCCTGACCATGTGAAAGAGAGCCATCTTGTAGCATGTTAAGTTCGGGAAATAAAAGGATGTATAAACAAAAAAATTTTTTTTTTAATTTAAAATAATATTTTTAAATAGTGAGATATAACATGAAAATATGAATAATTTTTATTATCTATATAATATATTTAATTTTATATTGATCATCTTATATCGACTAAAAACATATAAAAATAATCCAAGTTTGACATTCTTTCATAATTAATTCATAACTATAAAATCAAATTATTCATTCTATTTTGGACTCTTACCCCGTAAAGACTTAACCTAGTTAACTTTATGAAAATATATAGTTCTAAATAATTACCTTATATTTAATGAAAAGAATTATTCATTTGACATGAATTTTTCATTGAATGGAATTATTCCATTTATAAATGTAAAAATTATTATACTTCATTAGTTTTAAGTTCTCATATATAAAATATTTTAAAATTGTGTTTTAAGTACTTGTGCATGTGGTTGAAATTACACTTTCTGTATAAATAAAATTTGTATTGAACTTGAGCCATTAATGCTGTTTATACATAAATTAATAAAATTTTGTACATAGTTTGTTTTTTAGAAATGACTTAATTTTTTCTTATTTTTAACCCTATTTGATGAAAAAACATAATATCTATTTTATTACGTCATAATTACTGCTAAATAATAAATTAAAATATAAATAATTTTAATTGAAAAAACATTGAAAAACAAAACATGATGAAGTTAAACTGATAATAAGATATGTTGACCATAACATACACCCAAACGATTCTTAATATTTAAATATTAAGCTTGATACAATTGACTCGTGTTCTTTTTGTCTTTTGTCGCCCTTATATACTATTTTTTTTCTCTTTTAAAATCATAAAAATTAAGTGTTAACATTTTATACGAAAAATTTCTATATGGGGCTAGTTGCACATAGTGAAATTTGTTATAACAATATATTCATATTTGTAACAATATATTTATTACCCAAGCCAAAAATTAAAAAAATTGTATGTATTTTTGTAAATACTATGAAAATAAATATAATGTATTTAATTTAGATAGAAAAATTACAAAATCTTAGTGTCTATAAATCTAAATATCTATAAATAAATATTAAAATGTTGCAGCTAATATATTTTTCAAGGGGAATAAAATTACATAAATTTAACCATTGACCTGTTATATCTTAGTACTATAATAATAAAAAAAAATTCATAAAATGATATTTCATTTTTTATATTTATTAATTTTTATTTCATAAGACAGTTTTTATTAATAATATTTGATAATAAAAATTACTTTTCTTTGTTATTTTTATATTAATATATTATAAAAGTGTACTGTAATAACTTTCCTTAAGGTGTGGTATGTTGTTACTTTCTGACTAGTTTCAGTAAAACTTTTTTTTTTTGTATTAAATAAATGAATATTTCAAATAATTTATACTTCTATGAAATTAGAGAACTTATAGATTAGAATAAATTCATAACAATTTAGGTAATTGTGGAGGAACAATTCATAAAAATAAAAATACACAAATTGTAGCAATAAACCTCACCGTTTCCTACCTATAGTTTTAATTAATTTTACAAGTTTAAAAAAACTATGGAACGGATAATTCATTTAAGTTATAAATTATAATGTTACAGGTATGAATGCAAAGCGATGTAATGGAAAACAATGATGACTTACGAAACAGACCTATCAACAATATTAGATGCATTAGTTCCGTAGTATGGTTAGTATAGTAAAACAAAATCTGTTCAGTGATAACTAAGAAACAGTAGTGTACGACAAAAAAAATTAAAAACATCATAGTAATATTAATACCTTCTCAGCTTCGCATTTATGCTAAAATATTATTTTAACGTAGTCTAATAAAGCATAAATTATTTAAAAAAAAGTAACGCAATATATTAGAATTATAAGATTTGTCAAAACATCGTGAACCATTCTGTATATTAATTAGTACATTTATGAACAAAATTTAATTGTCTTTATTATGATTTATTAACGTTTTAATAGAAAAAGTACCACAGGATAACATAACAAAAATAAATATTGTCATATACTTGTTATTCCTTATAAAATTCTTTAAGAGAGGAAAAGTTATTACGAGGTAGTTTTAAAAACATTATTACTTCTAGTTTTATTATCAAAAAATCCCACTAGACTGTGTTTTTATAATCTTTTGTGCTTTTTTAATTTTTTTTCCAACCAAGTTTGAATACTATTGAAACTGTTTAATCAATTATAATCCTACAATAAGTACAAGTAAATATTTTTTATACTTGTGTCAATGCTATCTAGATTATATCTTTTAATCCAAACAATCAAGGTTTCAATCATTAATAAAACCGCTTGCTTGAAAATAATTTACAAAAACATAGTTATTATTTTTCAGTTGATTTATTCACTTCAGTATTTAACTATGATAAAACAACAAAAATTTAGAATTATTCAAGTAAATCAATTTTACATCTTTATCACTAAATCACACTTTTATTAAATTTAATCTTAATTATATCAAAACGCTTAGTAAAAACTGTTTAAGTCAAAATAAAGAAAAAAATTACTTATTTTTACTTATAATTTTTAATTTGAATAGAATATCTCCTAAACACCACTTTTATTACATGTAAATGATACTTCAGTGTTTAAAATAACTATTTTTTATATAATGTTTCAAATGATTTAAACAAAACGATGTTTGTTTATTTTAATGCTTAAAACAAAATATTTAAAAAATCTCAATCCTGACTTTTTTTGAACAGCCGAAAAACAATTTTCATTAGCTGTCTAGCTTTTTCAAATACAAAATTGAATAGGCTTTCTATAAAATAATAAATTATATACATAATGATAAGTTAACAAAAAAAATTATATCTACTAACCAAAGTTATTACTTTAAACTAATAGACACGCTAGACTTTATCACTTTGATAAAATAATATTTTACTTTAAAGCTAGTTTTAACATTTGAAAATAAATAGCATAACTTCAAATTCAATCTATAGTACAACTGAAATATATATGTTTAAGGGACTAACAAAGTCAACACAATGTACAAAGTGTGATGGTCATAAATTTTTTTGGTTCCATTTACATTGTCTTTCAATAGTTTTAGCCTCAATAATCATTTTTTTAATACAAAATAATATAAAAATGTTGGTAAAATGAAATAGAATTTCCAAACTTTAAAGAACTCTCTTAAATTATGATATGTTCCCTTATAAAAGTTACTTTATTTTAAAAAATGATTGAGGATATTAATTTTTTTTTTTTTGATATAAAACGACTGGAATGTTAGTATGAAAAAAATAATTAAATAATTTTGTTTTATCGATTTACTTAATTACAGTATTATAACAGATGCCTTTTAATATTGTATTCTATTCAATGTAGTGTGAATTTTGCTTGGGTAGTTATAAAATATTCATGAAACTTTTGCAATTTATACAAAATTATGAACACATCATTTGTGTTGCACGGGAAGTTGAAATATTATTCCATTACAATTTCTATGCAAATGAACGAGTTAAAAATGCATTTTGATTTAAAAAATCTTCCGTATAATATTAAAATGTCATGAGATATTTTTTGCATACATTTACGATAAACTTACACACGACTACTACTCAAATATTGAAAAAATAAACCCTGGTACTATACAAATCATTGAATTAATTTAATTATTGTCTACCAACATTTATTTTTATTTAGTAAAAAAATTAATATAATTTATCTTGCTTTTTACCCAGTTATAATAAATATATCATTATAATAATTATAATAAACACTTATATAAATTGCAATGATTCATCGGTTCATAAAAAAAGTCCATCAACTCAAAACCAATGTGAACCATAATATTATATATTATAAACATTTTCACTACTATATTTAAAATCGTGTACTAAATTACACAAACAAAATCAATGATTTTTTTAATAACTTTTACATATCTTTTGGCAAACGGATGCGTACTACAACCCATCCCAAAGTCAACATGAAAAGCAATTATACTCAAAGCTCGGTCAACGAAACAAAAGCCAAAAAACCGTATAGTTTCATATTTAATTCACTAGTCAATTCCGAGTACTTGCTTTACATGTCCCCTTTTTATGGACACGTAGAATGTATTGTGTTTATTCACACGGTGTAATAGTTGAGGGTCCGTAGAGAAATGCATAAAAATTATAAAGTATATTATCAACTAGATTCATTCGAGCACGTTCAATTTTTTATTTTACACTCTTCACAGTTTTAAAACACATGAAAAATTGTATTTTGATTTTTAACGTTAAATACCCAAAAGGAAAAATTTTAATTACTATTTTCAAAATATACACAGGTACACAGTGTTATTTTTAACTAGTTATGAAAACATATATTTGACTTCTTATTTATATAAATTAAAAAGTTCAATCTATAGATTAAACTGCGATTCGCAACTGATTTCTAAAAATATAATTTTACCGTATTTATTAGATTATATTATTTCCTGATAATTAAACTCATAATGCGTACTCATGGTTGCTTAAATTAAGTTTACACGCTTTATTATTTAATTTCAAACACATAACAATATCCTATTTAAACTCGCACGTATGACATTTTATTGATGGTGGCATTGTTAAATTTATTACATCATTGTGATTTATTTCATCATCTGAACAATCTCCAAGTAATAAAACCTTGATATTCGAATATATGCTTAAAATATTACCCAAAAATTATAAAATTGACTACAAGATGATAAAAATAATTCAAGTTTAGTAGCAATAAGTGATTTCAATGTCAAATGTTTATAATATTCAAAACAAAAAGAACGCCCACGTTAAACCGTCCATGTTAATTCTATTTTAGTCTAAAATCTATACTGATAATGAATGAACTTAAAGATATATGATTATAGTCACTAGTATTAATTTAAACTCATCTACTTCTCTGCAGGAAAAACCTTGGAGACGTTCGCAAGAATTGTGGACATTGTCGTGCGAACGCAGTGCCTTCAGGAATTATCGTTGCCGACGAAGAGAATATGTTATCGGTGTCAATGCGATCTGACCCCATCCGAATTGGATACTTCATTGGACGTAACGGAGTCCTATTATACAAGTACAAGCCGATTTAATATTTTTTTTACGATTATTTCGTTAGGCATAACAATAATAATCTAGATTCTCTCAATCGCACCAAAAGCAATGTGCATAGCTATTACACCTATAAAGCTTTAGCAAAAGCTTGTGCATTACATAAAGACTAGTAGTTTAGAGCTATTTTATGTAACCAATCAAAAGTAAAGTAGCAACACAAAATGTTATTGTAAGCCAAACCAATGGCATCACAGAGGAAAAAGGACTACGTTTAATCGTATTTCATGAATAAAATATTTTGGCCCAATATAATTCGATTATGAAGTAGAATTTAGACGAGCCAAGTAATTTTTACTTACTGAAGCGATTGTGAAAACAAATTATAAACTTATTTACATGATAACGCATTACGCCGATCAATTTCATTATAATACAATTACACAATGAAGATTTAAATCATATAAATTACATTAACTGAGATTGGAATAAATTACTAAAATTGCTCTAACGTTAATTTTTATTGAAAATTTACACTCCCTCAATTAGTCTCACATGTCATCGTGAGAATTGTTTTCTATTAATATAAATACACCCAATCAAACAATGACTATTCGCCTTAAAATATAGATATACTTTATTAATGTGCAAATTTTGTGTGAAAATACTATAACAATCAGTTATAGTTGTTAACAAATATGAACAAATTAAATTGATGATCTTTGTTATTGAGATACACGAATAATTAAAACATCATAATAATTGATCATTTCACTAAAAAAACCGTTGTCACTTCACTAGATTTTCATTCGTGGTAATTTCCAACAGTAAAAAGTAAAAATGTTCCAAAGAGTATTGAAAATGTGCAAATATCGGTTAACATACGGAGAACGCAATTGTTTTTTCGTACTCGTTAAGACACTATAAAAAACTTTTCTCGGGACCACAGTTACAACAAGGTTTAGGGCTCTCCAAAAGGTAGTGATATACAATAACAGATACAATTTAGAGTAAAACAGCAAAACCCTTGTCGGGCTGGTAATTATGGTATTTTGCGCAGATCATTTACAAAACAAAAGCATTCCATTTTACTTAGCTCAGAATTCTGATTAAAATCTAGCTGCCCCTGACAGAAGAATTAAACCCCGGATACGTACAATAATTGCGTTCGTTCCTGTTATCTACACAAAGATAACATTTCGTTTTTTATTATACTATAATAAAATTTAAACGACTGCCATTTTAATTATATTTTAGACGTCTCGTAAAACATAATATATTTTTTACCGCCTCCGTTTAAAACTTAAGTAATTGAAACAATTGTAATGATTTAATTATGGCGATTCCGTATACATTTCATTTTGTACGTCGTGTTAATGTCATAAACCGCACCACGTTCAATGTGCCAATGAGATTTATAATGATAAAAACTAATGTTTTGAAACGTGTATTTTTTCAGGACTTTATCTATACAAATCAAAACTTAAGACTTGACTAGCTGTTTCAAATGATGACTGATATCTGTGTTTGTGGTGAAATCCTAGATCCTAGTGTTACCCCGGAGGAGTAACCACAAACGCAATGTAATATTTTAACTGGATGATATTGAAACAGTTTCCAGGTAATAAAAACAAGTCACGTACAATAAATTCAGTATGTCAATAATATTTTGTTTACTCTACCGAATCCCCAGGGTTTAGCACAGTAAATCCAACTTAAAACGTACACTGCACAATATCTAATTTGTCAATCGTCTAATGTAACTTAAATGTTTTTCCAATTAAGTGAATGCATACTCGAGTTGTATTGTTTATATTATATCGATTGCGTTTGCCTGTTTAATTAACAATTTTAATTATTCGAAAATCGAAAGCTGTTAACGTCTCGTTCAATATTTCTATACAAACCGATTTATATTGTAGGCGTACCCTAAGTATAACGTTACCGCGAACAAATTAAAATATAATTCCATTTCCCCAAATATATTATATTATCATTTGGATTTGCGACCGATCATGTTCTACGGCAGTTGAAAATGAGAAAATAAACGAATAACAAATGCCGGCAAAAGACGCAGTCGCTCCGAAAGAAAGTTAATCAGTGGTCGTAAAATTGGATAATTATTCATATAAATATATACTATTATTAAAACATAACATAAAACTTTTCGCGGTCGGTAATGAAACAACTTTAACTCCTCACGGTACCAAAAACTTTTGCCATTCGCGTTTCCCGTTGGCAATTTTACAAACATAATAATAAGTATTCAGCATGAACGAAAAACAATAAAAATAACTCATTCGTTAGTAATTCGGTTACATAACTGCCATTCGACTTTCAGATGGACAAAGCAGTCAATATGACCCACGCTGACAACAATACAGTCAGTAACTGGACGGCAGTGACGTCTACAGAGTTTAAGCCAGTCTTATCGCCATTCGAGCCCTGGCAAATGGTCATTATTGTCACAGTCATTGGAATCTGCATGGTACTCACCATAACCGGCAACATTTTAGTGTTGGTCTCATTCATCGTCGATCGAACAATAAGGCAACCGAGCAACTACTTCATCGCATCCTTAGCTGCCACCGATATGCTAATCGGTGAGAGAAAAATAGTAAATTTTGGGGTGGGGGGATTGTGTATAAAAAATACTAAAGCCAATTAAGCTCATTAAATAGTGGTAACAAAACTATTTATTAAATACACTAATACATAAAAGTATCTAGATAAGTCGATTTTGCCATGGTTGATATTTTAAGTGTATATTAGTGTTACTAGTTTTGTATAGATGTACATCTTATAGATGTAAAAACATTGTAGAAACTTGATTTGAAGAATAAAAATTCCCCAATTAACGAACTGAAAGTTTATTATTTTAGTAAAAATTATTTTTCTTTAATTATTTCACAGATATTTCATCGAAATTAATTTAAATAATATCGAAATAATTTATATGTAAAAACAAACAAATTAAGTACCATTTTTGTATACAAGTTAAGTTTTGTAAAGTTATTTAAAAAAAAAGTGTAATTTTTTGTTTGATTTTTCATTTATATTATTTTTAAATCAATTAAATTGTTCACGTTTAGTAAAAATAAATATTCAACTGCTATGATTACTTACTTTACTAAACACAAATTATTTTTATATTTTAGGTACAGTATCGATGCCATTCTATTGTGTTTACATACTACAGGGGTATTGGGATTTAGGACCATTATTATGCGACTTATGGCTGTCCGTTGATTATACAGTTTGTCTGGTTTCCCAGTACACTGTTCTCTTGATCACCGTCGACCGGTTTTGTTCGGTAAAAATAGCTGCAAAATACAGGAGCTGGCGAACCAAAGACAAAGTTTTGTGGATGGTATCACTGACGTGGATCATACCAGCTTTGCTATTTTTTACCAGCATATTTGGATGGGAACACTTTGTAGGGTATCGCGATTTGTTACCGGGACAATGTGCTGTACAATTCCTCAAAGACCCGGTATTTAATACTGCTCTAATCATTGGTTATTTCTATACTACACTAATTGTATTGTTCGTACTCTACGGTGGAATTTATAAAGTAGCGTACGAAATGCAGAAAAAGAGCGAAGCAAAACAGCGGAAAATGCAATCAATGGTTGCACTGAGCGCAGGCACTGTATCTGGGATGGCTGGACATGCAGCTGGTATCGGCATGTCCAAGACCCAGAGTACGTTGCTAGTGCAAGAAAAATCAACACAAGCATCTGCCAATACATCTGGTATAGCAGCTTGCACTAATGATGGGAGTACAGGAACGATTTGCGCCAATAACGTATCAGAAAATATAGATGCTCGTGACAACCATTCTGTACCAGCTATGGACGAAAAAAACCCCACTGTAGTTATGGTGGATAAAGAAAGGTCAAGCAGTCCAGCATTTGAATCAGATGAAGAAAGTACTACTGGAGACAAACAGATCAATTGGCCTAGGAAAAAATCCGTCGCCGAACTTATCGTTCAATCAGCGTTAGTACAACGGTCCAACAGCGGTATTCACCTATCGCCATCAGACAACTTGATACCGTACGGATCAGAGTCTCAATCGACACACGTGCAAATTATAAGATCATATTCTAACACAGCGGTTAATTCTAACGGCATACATTCATCACCACCTCCACCCACAACACCCGTATCATTGTATCAGCAAACTGATCGTTGCTCTTTGTTGGGACACCAGCAACCGATGATTAAATCCGTTACGCGTAATGGCCATGTAGATGCACTAGTCGGCATGGACACTTCTGAACTAAACTTTATGGACGAGAGCTCTATTATCATAGGATCACCTACTTGCGAAAGTCCTACTAGCAGTAGTTCTATGAACGATACTTCATCAGCACAATGTTCACCGGCACATGGCGCGTACGCTACTTCATCTTTGTTACAAGCGGCACTTATTAGAGCTGCGGCTGCTCAACAGATAAACCAGCAACAACATCAGCATTCGGGTGGAAACAAAGTAAACACCACCGTTAAACTAGACAATAGGACAGGAGTTACCACTTCAATTGTAACAGTCGATGATGGATTACCGATGGCTGACAAATCGTCATCTGAGACCACTAAGAGTGATAAGAGAGAAGGTAGTTCCCGTGGTGATTTTGTCCGAACAATCGGCAAGAAACTAAAAGTTAAACGACCCAAGGTGGTTAATCGTCAAAAGTCTAAATCAGAAAATAGAGCGCGTAAGGCATTTCGAACTATATCGTTCATACTCGGTGCATTTGTGGCTTGCTGGACTCCATATCACATATTAGCCTTGATCGAAGGTTTCTGTTCTAAACCACCTTGTACCAATGAAAGACTTTTCCTGTTTTCATATTTTCTGTGCTATGCCAATAGCCCTATTAACCCATTTTGCTATGCGTTGGCCAACCATCAATTCAAAAAAACATTGACCAGATTAATGAAAGGCGACTTCCATATATCGTAAAAATCCTACTTCCAATTATAGAAATTAAAAAAACAATTTCCCGATATTTTTGTGTACTTATAATTTGTTCTACCACTTATATATTAATATCTACTCAAGCGTTTCCTAAAATAAAACATAGTTTGCATACAATAAAGTGGCAATTATTCTTGTTTTATTCATACAAACTGCTTTAAGTGTTTAACTATGATTAACCATTCTACCAATTGATAACTATTATAAATAAGAATTGTACATAAATACTTAACTCATTTTTAATTGTGTTTCATGCTAATAGAATAAAATTAACTCATGTAAATAAATAAGTCATAGTTGTTTTACTGTTTCGCTTGTAATTAATATAAGTGTTCATATCAGAAACCATTGGTTTAGTATATGTAGAATATTGTTTAAGATGTAAATTTTTAATAGGTCATAATTTTTCTCTTTTGATAAATGTTTGTAAATATTTTGTTATTGAAAACAGGGTAACATCAATACTGTACTTTATAACTTGTAATAATCTTGAATACTTTTTTTATAATACTTGTTTAAATGTAAGAACAATGTGATATCCAGTAATTTTTAGATAAGCATCGCGACAATATTTTACGAACTTAATGAATTTCTTTTATGATTTCAAACTTCTGATAAACTTTTCATTCAATTTTTTATTTTAATAAAAAAACGAATCCGGTTCACGGATTAATTGAGCCCTAATCCGTAAATGGCATTCGTTTCTATTTTTATTTATTTAGTTTAAAGAAAAGTGAAATGAGCAAAAAAACCTTTTTATGGGACAATAGGTATACATAAATATTGCATAGACAATTAGTTTATAAGATTTTATAGTGTGTATATAAAGTCGTAACCGTAAATTAAAAATTATTTAACTTATATAGGTGTTCAGCAAGTTAAAAAAAAAGATTTTTATTGTTCTCATTGTTTGTAACAATTGGCCTGTTTTCTGACTTTTTGAACACTTTATATACTCTATATGTTATATATTTATGCATATAAATTAATCAATAAAATACACCATAGACATTTTCAATAAATTGTGTTAAAAATTATTTCGTATGCTAGTTCCTGACAAATTTTCTATACTCTCACAATTCAACAAAAATGTATGTGCAAACTTTATGTAAATGTAATAATTTTTCACTCTATACTTAAATTTAAAAAAATTTTGTTGAAGTATTAAAAGAATTTTTTAAGAAATAAACAATTATATGCGTTAAATTAAAAATCAAATTTAAATTAACAACACTTAAAAAATATTTATAAAAAATCTTTTTACTTAAGTACTGACTGTTTTTTATAAATATTCATACACTGTTAGCTATGTTGAGCGTCTCAAAATATATTCAGCTTTATAATAAGCCTTAAAACTTTCACGGGTGACAGTTTTAAGCAGTCAGACTAAAAACATTTTTGAAAATATTATAATAACAGTAACAATTATTTTAGTTGAAACATTTCAATGAGGGCGACATAATGCGCCGTCAGTCATTTCAGATCAAAATGTTAATGTTTCAAAGAAAATGGCAATTAATTAATCAAATCATTAAAGATTCAAAGGGACCACAAAATTGTTTGGTTTCTGTTATTATTTTTTCAACCTGTACTAAAAAAAGTTCAATATGGATGAAGTAGTTTACTAGATATAGGAAAAATTGCCAAAAACCGAAATTATTTCGATTTTTACCAACCCAACCCAACCAGTAGTGATGCTAATACATTAAATTTCCATTCAAATATTAAGTACTCAACTGATTTTTTTGGTGAATTTTTGTCACCATTTTGTCACCAAAGTCACATTCATACGACTCACATACTTTTACTATTAAAGCATATTAACTACAATAAAGCAAAAATGTAATGAATTTTCTTAACATTTAAAAATTTTTTACCTCATAATTTAATTAAATTTCAATAATCTATTGAAAATTAGTTGAAAAGACTAAGCACAATGGGAATGCGGAATTTTTGGGATAAGTATTGATGGTATCGGATATTCTAATTTTTAGAAGGAATTTTTAAATTATTCCAAAACATCATCAACTCCTTAATTGATTCTCTATTTCCTTAATTATATCCCGATTACAAGTTTTATGAAACTTAAGGACCCATACAGCAACACAATACTATGAAAACATTTTATGGCAACAATTCAAAATGATCAAATGTTTATCATAACGTTTTCACAATTATTATAAAAAAAAAAAAAAACCCAGCACAGTGGAGTCGTGGCATAGTTGGGTCCAGTATAGATGATATCTGACAGTAATTAAAATCACTATCATAAAAAACGCTTCGATGCAAATCTATAGATAGTGTTTAATTTAAAAAAAAAGTAGGTCAAGTGAGAGCTGGGAAAATAAATGATAGCTACAAAATAAAAACCACATAGTAAAATAATATTAATATGAATTTCTTCTCACGAGAGGAAACTACAGTAATGGGATCCTTGATATTTATTGAAGTTATTGAATCTAAATGAGATAAAAATCAAATGAGTTTAAAATTTTTTTCTAACTCAAAAAGAATTAAGAAAAAATTCAGTGCCACAGACATGAAAGACCCAAATGTTACCTTCTCAGAAACTGTACGTCGCATTCGTCACTTAATAAAAATGGAAATTTAGCTAGTTCAAATTTTAAAGTTATTTTTCTCGACTTCAAAGAAACAAAAAAATTTAAATATGTTTAACTTTATATATCATGTCAATTAGATTGATATAATATTTATCAAAATCAGTGTAATCCCCTTATAATAAAATGAAATACAAAACCAAGAATTTTAACACAAAAATAGCATATTTTTGAATACTGTAGCTATTTTCAACATGAAGACAAAATAAAGTCCGAAATTTTTTTTTTTAATATTAAAGTATATTAAATAAGCTTTAATTTAAGATATATATAAAAGTGTCAGTATTTCCGGAACACTTTCAAAAATTAAGTTGAAAAATTTCTACTTTCTAAATGCATTTTTATGTTTTGAACCCCCCCTGTATTAAGAGAAATGGTCCGAATTAAAAAATCAGTATGCTAAATGAAAGATGTATATAAATACTACTTTTCAAGAAAAAATTGTATTGATCCAAACATTATTTAAAAAGTTATACCATTTTAAACTAAAAAATGTAAAATATAAAATCAAGAATTTTAACACAAAAATAGCATACGGTAGCCATTTTCACCGTGAAGACAAAATAAAGTCAGAAATTTTTTTTTTTTCATAATAAAGTATATTACATTAGCTTTAATTTAAGATATATATAAAAGTGTCAGTATTTCCGGAAAACTTTCAAAAGTTAATTTTTTGTGAAAAAGTTGTCATTTTGAATCCCCCCCTGTGGGCAGATAAAGGGTTAAATTTACATAAAAAATATACCAAATGATAGGTAAAGACATCAAGCATCTATAAAAAAGAAAAATTATATTGACATGTTTATTTTTGAAAAAGTTACGGCAGTTTTTAGTAAAAAAAATTTCGAAAATTTCGAAAATTAGCGAATTTTAAATTTGTCATTTTTTGGAGGTTTTCCCCATTTACGGGGAACGAGGGAAATTTTTTCAATTTTTGAGGGTAATGTCTTTGACTAGATACAATTTGTGATATTTTGACGAATCGTTGAAAGAAATCGGTTCGGTGAGAGCTGAGAAAAAGTGGTAATAAACACAAAAAAAATAGAAAAAAAAACACATCATAGTAAAATTAATACCTTCTCAGCTTCGCATCGAAGCTAAAAAATCGTACCTACATTCCTTCTATTATATGCAAAAGACTGCCGTAGTTAAAAAACATGCTACTATTATATAAAAATTTTCGATTTTCAAATTTAAATTGCTACAACTTTTTGAAAATGTACATTATTGTTAACACAAGGGGAAGATGTTTTTATAATGTTGGTAAATAGAATTCCTCTATTTATATAATTAATAAATTAATAATAAAAAAAATTTTTCTATAAATAATCATAGTTGTCAGAAATTAATAGATTCATATTTAAAACACTCTTATTCATCGATTAAATGTTGTTAATACCAAATTTTAATAAATAAATAATGATGTTAAGGATTATAATAAACTTTTATAATGCAATATTGATGCATTAATAAAATTAATTTCTTACTATAATATATAATAAATTAATTTCTTGATTTTTACATGTGTATAGGCTTAAAAAAGAAATGAAAATGTTGAAATGAGTTCTCGAAAATTATATTATACATCAAGTGCATTGAAAAATTGATTGAATTTGTAGTTTTATAATTGTTAAAAAAATACTCATTAGTTTTGCATATTGGTGTATATATATAGATTTTTTTTTAACACAGTACAAATTTTATCTATTATTTTCATTAAATCCTACTTCTTCAAAAAGAAATTTTAATTTAAAGTATTTCTATTAAGAATTAATATAAAATATAATTACTTACATTAAGCGACTACCATCGACGAGTTGACAATAAAAATTTAACATAATGTCAAAAAGTTAACGTTCGAAACAAGACGCCAAGGGAAGTCACTGTAACGTAGCACTATAATAATCTTGTTTTAATTAGAAAAATAATTAAATTTTTTTCTTGGTATGTTCATAGCTTACTTACATTGATAAGTCGTTAAATTTGATTTATCATCATAAATTTAACGCTCAAAACGAAAAATAATACATTGCACAGACTTGGGAATTATATTTCAAAGTAGTTTTAGATTAATCTTAAAATGGTGATTAAATTGTTATAGAAAACCAACTTTTGCGCGATTATTAATTAAATCGACTAAATTTAATTGGATAATATTGATCAATGTTGATTAAATCAATCCCAGAATTCTACGAAAGTTAATTTTCTTTGGATCACTTATATTTACTGAAAAATGTCACAATTTGATATCATTAGTATAACAAATTAAAATTAATATGAGTTTACCTACCCTACCTCTAGACGTTAAATTAATAATTTATCAAATTTCAAAAATATTGATAAATTTTAACAATCCAAATTAATTATATTTTAATACATTATACAATTATCAATAATGATAACTTATTAAATTATAATTTTTTAATACTATTACAAAAATAAAACCTATTAAAACCACGGTTAGTTTACGGTAACCGGGCGTGTTATCTATTGTATACACGTAAACATTTAAAAGTTACACGATTTTCATGCTAAACAAGAATTTAGGCTTTGCAAATGAAAGAATTAAACTACACTGAATTGTTTAAAATTAATTATACAAATAATTTTTTTTAATTAAAACGTTAAAAGTATAGAGTATAATTTATTTGGGTTTTGTAAATGTATTCACATTTACTTTGTTACCCATTAGTGTGTTATTAAGGTGAGCACTAGGTTTAATCAAAGTAAGATATTTTTAAGATTCTGTATGAAAATTTATTATTAATAAATTCCAAGTCATATCAAACCTTTGGTATAACTCAATAAGTTTAATAAATAATGACTATATTATAAGGCTGTTATTGAATTCTATGATATGACAAATAAATTTGCTTTATATTTCAAATAAATTGATTATAACCTAATATAAAGTAATAAAATGTTCAAGTTTATTGTAAGTTAATAGTATCTAAAGTTTAAACTCATTTAAAAATCTTTAATTGAAAATTATATGGTAGTATATATCTTATTAAATTTTACAGTATAAATAAAATATTTTTAATAATAAACTTTATTTTAGATTTATTATAATTAAAATGTTGACCAAATTTGAAACAAAATCTGCCCGTATTAAGGGCCTAACGTTTCATCCAAAAAGACCATGGATTTTGGCTAGTCTTCATACTGGAGTTATTCAACTCTGGGATTATCGAATGTGTACATTATTAGACAAATTTGATGAACATGATGGACCAGTTCGAGGTATCCATTTTCATAGTCAACAACCTATTTTTGTTTCTGGAGGTGATGATTATAAAATCAAAGTTTGGAACTATACTCAGCGTCGATGCATATTCACACTTCTTGGTCATTTGGATTATATTCGTTCTACAATGTTCCATCATGAATACCCGTGGATATTAAGTGCTTCTGATGATCAAACTATAAGAATTTGGAATTGGCAAAGTCGAGCTTGTATTTGTGTTTTAACAGGTGTGTATTAATTATCTTCTGTATTTATCATTGTATAGCAGTATAATATTTAGGATGATTCAGTTTAGTATATTCCAACAGGTAGTTAAAAGAACTTTTATAACTTATAATCTATGCTAGCATATTAAAATTGCTAAATTAACAGTTTTATTAAAGAAGTATTATCTTTTGGCTAATTTTTTTTTTACTACTTTGAGTTACTTTTTACTCTTATTAATTAATATTATTGAGAAAAGTTACTTAACAGTTTTCATTTAAAGAATAAAACAATATTAAATTATCAAAATGAAGTCTTATAATCTACTAAAAATTAAGTAAGTTAAAGATCTTATAAAATTATACTGTCATAAACTCCACATAATATGATTGTCATTTACAACTTAATTTTATCTATTTAGTTTTATAATTTTTTGAAAAAAATTTATAGGTCATAATCATTACGTAATGTGTGCACAATTTCATCCATCTGAAGATTTAGTAGTGTCCGCATCACTTGATCAAACGGTTCGTGTATGGGATATATCTGGGTTACGGAAGAAAAATGTTGCCCCAGGACCAGGAGGACTTGATGATCACTTAAAAAACCCCAATGCAACTGATTTATTTGGTCAAGCTGATGCTGTTGTAAAACATGTACTCGAAGGACACGATCGAGGTGTCAACTGGTGTACATTTCATCCTACTATGCCTCTTATAGTTTCTGGTGCTGATGATCGTCAAGTTAAATTATGGAGAATGAATGATTCCAAAGCTTGGGAAGTAGATACATGTCGTGGTCATTATAATAATGTTTCATGTGTTGTTTTTCATCCAAAACAAGAATTAATCTTATCTAACTCTGAAGATAAAAGTATTCGTATCTGGGATTTAACCAAACGAACATGTTTAAATACATTTAGACGTGAAAATGAACGATTTTGGATCCTTGCTGCACATCCAACATCTAATTTGTTTGCAGCAGGACATGATTCTGGTATGGTTATTTTTAAACTAGAACGGGAAAGACCTGCTTTCACACAGTTTGGAAATTACTTATATTATGTTAAGGAACGATTCTTACATCGTCTTGATTTTACAACTCATAAAGTTAATACAGTGATGCAATTAAGAGGTGGAGGAAGAACTTTAGCTTACAGTATTAGTTATAATCCAGCAGAAAATGCATTGCTAGTAGTTACAAGAAATTCTAATGTTGAAAATAGTACATATGATTTGTATCAGCTACCTAAGGAATCTTCAGATAGTGGTGTTATTGAATCACCTGATAGTAAGAGATCTAGTGGTGTAATGGCAGTATGGATTGCTAGAAATAGATTTGCTGTTTTAGATAAGACGCACATGCTTCAAGTAAAAAATTTGAAAAATGAAATGTCTAAAAAGAATATAGGTCCTAATAATGTAGATGAAATTTTCTATGCTGGTACAGGTTTATTGTTATTAAGAGATCCTGAAAACTTAACCTTATTTGATGTAACACAAAAAAGAGTTTTGGCTCAATCAAAAATAGCTAAATGCCGATATGTTATTTGGTCTAATGATGGATCATTGCTTGCTGTTTTATGTAAACATAATATTTACATATGTAGCAGAAAACTAGAAATTCTTTGTACAATTCATGAAAACTCTAAAATTAAATCTGGTGCTTGGGATGATTGTGGTGTATTCATATATACGACTAGTAATCATATAAAATATGCTTTACCTGATGGTGGAGATTATGGAATAATTCGAACATTAGATTTACCAATTTATATTACTAAAGTTAATGGCAATCAAGTATTCTGTTTGGATAGAGAATGTCGACCAAGAGTTTTAAATATTGATACTACTGAGTATAAATTTAAATTAGCATTGATTAAACGAAAATATGAGGAAGTATTACATATTGTTAGAAATGATAGGTTAATTGGTCAATCAATCATTGCTTACTTACAACAAAAAGGATACCCTGAAGTTGCATTGCATTTTGTTAAGGATAATAAGACTAGATTTTCTTTAGCACTTGAATGTGGAAACATTGATATTGCTTTAGAAGCAGCTAGAACATTGGATGACAAACAGTGTTGGGAACAATTGGGTCAAGCTGCCTTACTTCAAGGTAATCACCAAATAGTAGAAATGTGTTATCAAAGAACAAAAAATTTTGATAAGTTATCATTTTTATATTTAATCACTGGTAATTTGGATAAATTAAGAAAAATGATGAAAATTGCTGAGATACGTAAAGATGTTTCTGGTCATTATCAAGGTGCTCTTCTGCTAGGTGACTGTCAAGAGAGAATTAAAATATTGAATGATCTTGGTCATAAGTCGCTTGCTTACTTGACTGCTGAAACTCATGGATTACATGTTCAAGCTGAATCTATAAAAGAAGGTTATGAAGGGAATTTACCAAAGGTAAATCCCAATGCAGTTTTATTAAGACCCCCTGTGCCAGTTAGCCAAGCTGAATCTAATTGGCCATTATTAACTGTATCCAAAGGTTTCTTTGAAGGTGCAATTTTATCTGCTGGTAAGTCATCTGGACTTATTGAAACTCCTATTGGTGATGAAATTGAAGAAGAAGGTTGGGGAGCTGAAGCTGATTTGGGGCTAGAAGGACGTATGTCACCTACACATTCTGAAACTGAAGATGAAATTGCAGCTGTTGTGGAAGGCGAAGAAGGATGGGATGTTGGTGATGAAGAATTAGAACTACCACCCGAGGTTGCTATTTTGAAACAAGATTCTGACTATTTTGTTGCTCCTAAAGAAGGACCAAATCCAGCATATGTATGGTCTAATAATAGTCAATTACCCATTGATTACATAAAGTCAGGTAACTTCGAAACTGCTTTTAAGTTACTTAATCAACAGATAGGAATTACTAATTTCTTACCTCTCAAAAGCTTGATTATGGACACATACCTCAAGTCTCGCTGTTCTTACTCACCATTACCATCTCATCCTTCACTTTTTGTGTATCCCCATAGAAACTGGAAAGACTCAAATAATAAACCAGTTTTAGATATAAAATTAGATCAATTACTTGCAGAACTACAAACCTGTTATCAATTAACTACTGCAGGTAAATTCCCAGAAACCATAGCCAAATTTCGAACTATTTTACTGTCTATCCCATTATTGTGTGTGGATACTAAACAAGAATTAGCAGAAGTTACACAATTAATACATATTTGTAAAGAATATTTGATAGGTTTAATAATGGAAACTGCACGTAAAGAACATCCTAAAACTACTGCTGAGGATCAAAAAAGAGTGGCAGAAATGGCTGCATATTTTACACATTGTGATTTACAAGTATCTCATAAAGTATTAACCTTACGAACAGCTATTAATATATTTTATAAAATTGGAAATTTAAATACAGCATCATCGTTTGCTAAAAGATTATTGGAATTAGGTCCTCGTAATGAAGTTGCTCAACAAGCAAGAAAAATGGTACAAGCATGTGATTTAAATCCTGTCGATAAATTACAAATTGCATATGACCAACATAATCCATTCTCAATATGTGCATATTCTTTTTTGCCAATCTACAAGGGTAAAGAAGAATTGAAATGTCCATTTTGTTCTGCATCATACCAACCTATACATAAGGGTAAAGTTTGCAATATATGTCAAACAGGATCTATAGGAAAAGAGGGTACTGGACTAAAAATAACTGCAACTCATTACCGTTGAATATTTATCAATATTTGCTTAGTTTCTTTTCAATTCTTGTTTATAAATTATTATATACTTATATATGTTTATGATATTATTAAATATGTTTTTTTTTTTTTATTTCTATCAAACTCTTTAATTTGTTTTTTTAATAAATAAATAAGTTTATAAAATAAATAAATAACAAAATGAGAGTGTTTATTAATAAATTATCTAAAGACTAGAAATAAATCTGATTTACAATCAAAACATCTATAATAAAGAAATTAATATGTAACTAATACTGATCATTGATTTCTGAGTCAACTTGTGGTATTATCAACCCTAAATTTATGTTTCTTATCTGGGGTTGTACTGGATGTAACTTGCAGCGACAATTAGTTATAACTTTGACAACATTATTCAAAACTGCTCCATCTTGACATAAAAGTTTCACTCTTAATAATTTTGTATCACCATTGACACAATGTAATGCTTCTACCTAAGTTAATTTTATATAAAGTTTTAAAATTTAGATTTATTAATTATCAGAAAATTATGTCTATAATTGCATACTTGTTGTTTATGTGTTGATGTTGATTTTAGCCTTTTCATTAATGATATGGCTGAAGTGTATACTAGACATCGTTCTGCACACACAGCTTCCTCTATTGGTTGTGTAGAAGTACACCGACCATCAGTGATATGTCTAGTTGAACGTAAGTTGCAATTCATTTCTACAAAACAAAAATTATTAAAATTTAATAATTACAGCATATTTAATATTGTAAAGAAATGGCGATATCGTGAATTTTTTTTCTTTTTAATATAACTTATTTTAGTAAAACTTTAGTTTTGTGTAAAATAAGTTATTTTAAATAACACCAGTAGTTATTTATTTCTCTGTACAAATCAATCTGTGATTGGACACAATATTTTTATATTTTGGTGATACTGTTCTTTTTTAACTGGAAATGTATTTAAAAATTATTTTAATATCTATTTTATATTTTTACATTAAATTTAATTGAACTATTAGGTATATATGTGAGTGGCTTAATAGATACTTAAATAAAATATTTCAAATTAATTCTATAAAATAATTTTTATAAGACTAATAAATACATCATGTATATATATATATATACAGGATATAGTAAAAATGATGTTCGCTAGAACTTAAGTAACCTTTTGTAAAAGTTTAAAGAAGCGAATTAAAAAAATAAACAAGGCAATTGCAAGAAACATAACAAATCTCTTTTCAACACGTTTAAAATATAAAAAACTCAGTATTCTGAGGCTCTTTAAATTTAAGACTGTTGAAGTTGCATTCTTTTATTTATGCAACTGGTAAATGTTTTTAATGTTCTAACTTTCTACCCACAATAATTAAAAATATTTTTTGTTATATCTTTTAAAATAAACTAAAACGTTTTAAAACTCTCCTATTAAAAAAAATCTAGGTACGTCAATATTTATTAATCTGAATAAAAATAATTAATATGCAAAATTTTATGCTGCAAAGCATGGACGGAAATAGATATCTTTATTAAACTGAGCACATGATATATAAATTTTTAGTTTTTTTTTTAAATTTTTTCTTAAGTAAGAAACAAAGTAAGATTAGGGATGGTCTTTAAATTTCCTCAAAAATAAAATTTGCTCTTTCAAGAATAATGAAAACTACATATAATGTTCTATAAAAATATTATTATATTTTTATAAAAGGGAAAATTATCAATTTTTTTCTTAGCAACTCTGGTGGATAGAGAAATATATGTAAGAGAAATTTTTATTACCCCAACTAATTGTGATATAACCGTATATCTATGCAACATAAATATTTTTAACTTAAATGATTTTGACTTCTATCCCGATTAGATGTTATATATATATATATTACATTAAAATACCATGTGAGTAATTGTGAAGAAGTTATTTATTAATTTATTGTATAGCTGTGAAGAGTTATTTACACTATCAGCAATTAATTTTTTATTCGTTAAAATAAATATTAAAATTATATAAACAATGTACAATTTTTTAATAATAATTATAACCGTGATAAATTCAAACTAAAGGCCTCTTTAGCCTACATCATGGATCATCTTCCGCCTGTGCTGAAAAACCTTATTTAATAATATGTATAGCAAAAAAATAAACATAATAAAACGTGGTATATCTGTTTCTACTTTCTCTTAGAAAAACCTAAAGGAGTTTAAAAATCCGATTTTTATCTAAAACTGGAAACAATATTAATGTTTAACTAGTTGTTTAGCAAACGACCCATAAAAGAATTTTTAACGTAGTATTAAAATGGTTTTATTAAATAATAGTTTTCTTTTAAAAGAAAAGCGCAAACTGGATCTTGAATGAAGTATCTAATGTATCACAGTTGAATAGGAATGTTGTACTTGTATTAAATGAAATTTTATATTCAAGCAACAGCTTGTTGTACACCAAGTATATGGTCAGAGGAAAAAACTAGGTGAACTAGTACAACATCATTTTTTCTTTTCAAATTGTTCTACATATGATGCTAGCAAATAGTTTAATATTAATATTAAATTTTAATTGTACAAATAATTACTCTTTTTGTATTTTATAAGTTAAGTAATGAAAGTTCGACCATGACGACAGTGTACTACTAGTCAATTCACCAAAAATCTTTCTTTAATAATTATAGCAGATGATAAAAAATCTTAATTTAAACGTAAATAAGAAAATCATATTAAACAAAGGAAATCAATAAGTGTAACCTCCATAAACTAATATGTACTGCAACTATGATAATTAATTATGCCTACAACTGCATAGCGAATTAAGTATTTTGTCAAAAATGTTTAAAGTTTATAAAAAATATTAAAATTAATGAAAACTTTTCTAAAGGACTGAAATATCACCAAATATATACAAAATAAACAAATTAATTATTTTTTCTTCCCAAATTTTTTTTTTTAATAATTAAAGTTTCTAATAGATTAAATTATTTATTTAATCCTTTTACCAGAACGCTAGAACCTATACTAACACTAGTTTTACTATTAATCGTATATCAAACACTTATTTCAATTCGATAATATTTGAATAATGAATTTCGATTATATAATATAATTTATATATTTTTTTTTATTTATATTTATTTATATTTATTATTTACCAGTGTCTATTTCATAGTCTTCGATGTACTCGGGGGTATGTTTATTATTTTTGTAGTATTGGTCCATAATTTCATCTAAACCATTTCGTTTCAATTTCATTTCAGACTTGTATTTTGACTTCAATAAATCCTCTAAAAGTAATCTGAACATGTCTTTCGGTTCATTACTTGTATAGTATTGATCCTGTTCAGTATCGATGGTTGATTTGGCCGAGTGCCAATTAGAAAGATTAGGGATGTATTCCATTTCGATTTCAGGTTTTGTATTATCATTTGATGGATACTTTGAAATGGGCAGTTTAAGAGAAGGTTTATCAGTAGAAGGGTAAAACATCCGAGTAGTTTCTGTCACATAAAAAGTTGGTTGATCTACTTTAAATGTTACTGATTTCGTAGGATATTCATAAGTTTCTTTCAAATTAGGAGACTGTGCGTATAATATGGGCTTATAACTCGCCTCAGGAACAGTCCTACGAATAGAATTACCATAAGTCTGTATATCATCTCGGAAATCCGAATTTTTTGATTTATAAATGGAATATGGTTGTTTTTGAACACCGCTAATTCTAGATGTCACAATTGTTTGTTGGTTTAGCGAAGATATGGAAGCTGCTCTGTGGCTTTCAGAATTATTTTTGGTATCTAAAGATTGTCGCTTGAAATTCTGTTGAGGTATTGAAGGTATTGCTCTGAATAAATCCGGTTTTATTGTCGGCGTTATGTTATTCAAAATTTGTTTGGGTACCATAACCATAGTAAACGGTTTTGAGCCAGTTACAAGTTTACTAGTTGTGGATAAAGTCAACTCGGTTACGTTGTTAATAGGTCGCACTGTGGTGGCGTACAGGAGTTGTTGAGCTCTATAAGTTTTTAATTGATGTTTGACTTTAAAGTTATTGAAGTCGGTTTGATGATTTTCTAAAGAATCTTGCTTAGTGTTATAAATTACAGGTGTCGTCGAGTAAATTGGAGTTTTAGAAGTAATATATATCCGTTCCGTCGGTTGATTCTTCATAAACGTTAGATTTTTAGGAGTTGGTGTTTCATATACTGTCTCGTTATGTCGATACATCTTTTCTGGTATTGGCGTAAAGAATATCTGTACAGTATCCTCTGACTGTTTAGTCGTTATGTTGAATGGACTAAAATAGGGGCGAGCAAACTGCAATTGTACTCCATCATTCCTCTGATGATTCGAAATATTTTTTAGTGTCAGAAAAGTATTGAGTTGACTGCGATCTTCGTTGATTTTTACAGTGCAATGAACTAAAGTTAAACTCATCAATACTATCAGATTTACCAAGCTGAAAAAAAGGAGTAATTTTAAATTAAATTACTCATAAATGTGGGTTTGGTATAATTGTGTTAGAGTATAACATACCCTAGTTCAATGTAACAATAACCTATATTTTTAAACTAGCAAAAACATCATTAATAAAACAAATCCTATCTAGTTCCGCACTTATCCATATGTATAGTGATCGTTAAAGTCAACCGTGGGCATTACTCTTGCTTATTTAAGATAGTATCACAGTATATTGTACTGTAATCTACTTATTTATTTTAATTAGAGAGAATAAATTAATCTTATTATATAAAATGTTTAAAGATTTATATAAATTTATATAAATGATTTATATAAATGATTATGACTTTGCATAAAATATAATTTTTTGTTTTCAACAGAATAATAGGTAAATCACCAAAAACTTGTTTGAGTCCGTTATATTTTATACATAACCTGTTCATACTATAAGATGAAATTTACTTTTAAAACAAGCAGGATTAATACATACGCGTTTTTATTTCTGTATACCTATATGAATTTCACAGTGTAAATAAAAATAATTTTCTATGTTTTATTATGGTAAAGTATTTTAGGAAAAGTTGACTTAATACAAAAACGAACAATAATATTGTTTCTATATGAATAATAATATAGGGCAGTGGTGTACGTACGTTTTTTTTTAAAGGGATGTCACCAATATATAATAAAACCATTTTTCAATAGAATCTCCATCAGACAGAAACCTTATTTAAATAGACAAATTCTATGATCCCGATTTTTAGATAGATTAAAATTAACCTCGATTAAACGAAATCCTCCTCTTAATAAAAACAAATTTGGTCCAAAATGTTTCCATTTAAAGAAGGTTCTACTGTTTATGATTTTAACGCGTTTTTTGCATGTCATCTACTAAAATGTGTTCTATTCCAGTGAACTCGTAAGAGTTGGACATACAAATATATTTTTCAAATTTATTATGAAAATTTATAAAGTTTATTTATACGTTATTTTTTTTAAGAGTTTTAAAATACGTTAAAAGTATATTTTGTATTATTTTTCTCTATTAAAAAAGAAACTTAAATAACATTTTTTTGAAATTTAAAATAGCGGTTTTTTAGCTTTTTCTCACAAAACAAAGTTGAGGAGTATATAATAGCTTTAAGACCAGTACTATTGAATTATAAGAATTTTAATACATATAGTGAGTATGTAACGTGAATAAAGTATGCATTAGTATGCAGTGACGGTTAAAATATTTTACCATATGAGGGAATGAAATTTGTCTTTAATTTTTGTGAGCCTTACTTATTTTTGAATTTTATTATTAGAAAATAATGTTAACATGCACTTAACAACAATAATTAATAAATAATTAAAAAAAACCCAACACAGTTATTAAATAAATTATTAATAGAATAAAAAACCCAGCACAATAGGGACGTGGCATATTTGGGTCAATTAAAATGATATCTGACAGTGATTAAAATCACTGTCATAAAAACGCTTTGATGCAAATCTGTAGATAGTGTTTAATTTAAAAAAATTGATGGATTATTCCATAAGTTACATGATCTCCTATTTTCTTATTTATATCCTGATTACAAGTTTTATGTTTTACATGTCCGTTTTCACCGTGAAAACAAAATAAAGTCCGAAATTTTTTTTTCCATAATAAAGTATATTACTTTAGCTTTAATTTAAGGTATATATAAAATTGTCAATATTTCTGGAAAACTTTCAAAAGTTAAGTTGAATAAGTTGTCATTTTGAATCTCCCCTGTGGGCAGGTAAATAGTCAGATTTATAAAAAAAATATATCAAATGATAAGTAAAGACATGATGCATCTATAAAAAGAAATTATAATGATTTGGTCGTTTTTAAAAAAGTTATAGCAGTTTTTAGTAAAAAAAATTTCGAAAATTTCGAAAATTATCGATTTTTAAATTTGTAATTTTTTTGGAGATTTCCCCCATTTACGTGGAACAAAGGAAATTTTTTCAATTCTTGAGGGTAATGTCTTCAACTAGATACGATTTGTGATATTTTGACGAAGCGTTGAAAGAAATCGGTTCGGTGAGAGCTGAAAAAAAGTGGTAACAAAAAAAAAAAAAAAAAAAACGAA